AATTATTTAATAGCATGGTCAACACTGGTCGTATTCAGGCTGCCAGGACAAAGATCATTGCAGGCGTTTTGATATTTGCTAATTTTTGCCAATATCAGAGTGTGACACGGCCGACACAAGTGAACCGGTGGTTGACTCACTTCCTGATGATTTTGAAGTAGCAGGTTCCCATGATGACGACATTGATGACGTAGCACAGGACGATCAGGCAGATGAGGTACACCAGGTCAGCCACGGTCGTGACCCGGAAGTCGATAGTACAGGACAGACCGAACGGCTCGTACGTGTACCTTGTGAAAAAGAGGGGGAAATTTTATCTTAATTTCAATCCAGTAAAACAGCTTCAAACAAAAAGACTATGGGGTCGTGTGGCGTAGCGGTAGCGTGCTCGATTCGCCCAAGTGGTCCCGGGTTCGAGTCCTGACATGCCACCGATCTTGTGCCCTTGGAAAAGGCACTTTTAATAATAATACACGACTTTCTTGAGTATTGTCTTGTCATGTATTCGTCCCCTTCGTTGGTGGCGGCATAAAATAAGTTGATATAACTTGAGTGTGCTGTCACCGTGTCTAGTCATGAAATGTTGGAGTAAAAAAAAAGACTGCAATTTAGAGAATTTTCAACTACCCCTACAGCAGCTCCCTACAGCCTTCCTCAGAATAAGTGACCAACTACTTCAGCCACGTGACATTCTGGGCACGTGACTATCAGCTACTATCACCACTGGTTGTTCACAGGTATGTGGGGACGCCTAGCGGACCAACCTTGCAATGTCGAACAGTGGTGGTACCGCCACGGCGATCGCAACCAGCCAGGCCCCGATCACAGCCAAGATTGTCCTGCTCATTGTCAACTTACTGGCTGTAGAGGATAGATCAATAACAGGTTAATGATGTAGTTTCTACTTTCAATTCAAGACCTCCCCCCCGTTTTTTATTTTCTTCTAGAGATTTATGATAAAAATGCCACACGTTGCAGCTGTTGCAACGTCCTTCAAAGCACGAAAGATGTGATCTATATTGATAAGTATTTTTATGATAATTTGGTGGGCGATTGAAATGGAAATCTAGACACAAATCAAGCAAGGCAAATGGAAGAGGCAGGCTGATTATGTCGTTAATAGTTGCCAGCCAAACCGCCTTTCGTAGATAAAACGTTTTACTAATTTTACATTTGACACAAGTTCACTGATTCGCGCAAGTACGATAAACTGCCCTCATTTGACCTTCAAGTGACGGCAGCTTATCCAATTAGCAAGCCTTGCTTGACATGTGCGCCTGGAGACGA